GGCAAGGTCTTAGAGACCTTTTAAGAGAGGCAGAGAAAATTTATAATAAAAGAGAAACTCAAAAAAAAAAAGAGAGAGAGAGGCGGAAGATAGGGAGAGTGCGAGAGACAAGAGGCAAAATAAGGAATTAAGCAGAATCCTGGCCACAGTAGTAAGAAAGAAAGACGAGGGCAGAGTAGAGAGGAAGGGAGATTGAGGGCGTGTCCAACTAGGGTCAGACCAGTGTGCCTACCGCAAGGAAAAAGGACACTGGGCAAAGGACTGTACCAAGAGAAAGAAGAAACAAAGGAAAGACAGAGCTGAAATCCTTAACCTTGATTAGGAAGGTCGGGGCCAGGAACCCCCACCCCGCCCAGGGATGGGAGGATGAGGATCAGAGACCGACAGCACGTTCCCCGACGTTGCACAGCACGCCCCCGGCCTGACCTTCGTCTCCACCCCTCCGCTCTGTCCCCTGTCCAGAGTCATCATGGCCTTCTGCCCTCAGTTGGCGCTTTTACTTTGGAAAAACTACATTTATCGCAGGAGACAGCCGATCCAGCTACTCGAGGAACTGCTGTGGCCCCTGTTCCTGTTCTTCATCCTGGTGGCCATTCATCACTCGCACCCCCCAGTAGAGCACCACGACAAGCCACTGCCATCTGCAGGCACGGTGCCCTGGCTCCAAGGACTGATCTGACTTTGCACAGGAGCTGCTGACCCTGCCCAGCCTGATGGAGCTCCGAGGTCTGCTGCGGAGGCCCAAAGGGATAGCTGGGCCCCTAGAGCTGATGTCAGAAGCCCCGTGCAGTGACAAGGGGCCTAGCAGCCCAGGTGGCCTCTCCCTCAATTGGTATGACGCCAGCCAACTAAGCGACTTCCTGGAGCCTGAGCTGGTGCCTACCCTGCCTGATAGCAGCCTCAGCCCTGCCTGCTCTGAGTTAATGGGAGCACTGGATGACCACCCACTATCACACCAAACTGGAGGAGCCGGAGCATTGACTAGAAGACATCTTTCCTCGATTCGGGATGCCTCAGGTAATAGGGTCAGATAACGGACCGGCCTTCGTCTCCCAGGTAAGTCAGAAAGTGGCCAGGTTGTTGGGAATTGATTGGAAATTACATTGTGCTTACAGACCCCAGAGGTCAGGCCAGGTAGAAAGAATGAATAGGACAATTAAAGAGGCTCTAACTAAATTTTCGCTAGCAACTGGCACTAAAGACTGGGTGACTCTACTGCCCTTGGCATTATACCGGGCCAGGAACACTCCTGGGCCCAGTGGGTTAACTCCGTTTGAAATCCTGTATGGGACCCCTCCCCCTGCAGTTTCCTTCTTAGACCCGGATATCTCTAACTTTGTTGATTCACCTTCCCTCTTTGCTCACCTGAAGGCACTCCAGCTGGCTCACCAGGAAATCTGGAAGCCCCTAGCTGCAGCCTATCAGGATGCTATTGACACTCCTATTGCACCCCACCCCTTCCAGCCCGGGGACGCTGTCTGGGTCCGGAGGCATCAGACTCGGAGCCTAGAACCACGCTGGAAAGGACCATACACCGTCCTCCTCACCACACCTACAGCTCTTAAGGTCCACGCCTCCCACGTTAAGGCAGCCAATCCAGCTCACCAAGAACTCTCAAGAGAAGGTTCCTAAAGCAAGGAGGGTTATGTGCAGCCCTGAGGGAAGAATGCTGTTTCTATACAGACCAAACAGGAGTGGTAACTCAGACTCTAGATAAACTAAAAGAAAGACTAGAAGAAAGAAAACGTAACTTTGAATCTAAAAAAGGTTGGTTTGAGGGGCTATACGATCAGTCACCCTGGTTTACCACATTAGTGTCTTCCTTAGCAGGCCCTCTAGTCCTTTTGTTTTTAATCTTAACCCTGGGGCCCTGCATACTTAATCGGCTGGTCCAATTCGTAAAGGATCGGCTGTCTGTAGTTCAGGCACTAGTCCTCACCAGCCAGTACCAGGCATTGAGGACTCAGGATCCAGATATGTTATGATGAGTGAAAGATTCCACTCATATGTCCAAGAAAAAGGGAGGAATGAAAAAAAACCTAGGCGCCATGAGCCCACCTGATAGGAATGCCTGACAAGAAGTCAAGCATTGAGAAACTAGCTTATCAGAAAAACAGGACGTAGTGGTCAAGCCATCTGCATCTGGCAATCCCCGGGGCTCGATACCAGGAAATCAGGAGAAAAACCTCTGTGTCCCTGAGGTCACCTCCCATTTAGCAATCCCACTTCCCCTTAGCCCCGACCCTTACCCCATATTTCTGTGTGCTTTTGAAATTACTCTGTGTGTTTTTGAATTAACCAATAACCGCGCTTCTGCTTCTGTACCCTGCTTCTGCTCTATAAAAGTGCCAAACCCCAGCCTGTAGGCGCGCAAGTCCTCCGAGGAGACTTTGTGCCCACAGGTACCTGTGTATCAAATAAACCTCATGCTGTTGCAACCCAAAGGCTGACTTGTCCTCAGTGGTCTCACTCTTACACAGCTACCTTTCTTATACAGCCCAGGCCCACCTGCCTAGGGATGGTACTGTCCACAGTGGTCTGGGCCCTCTCACATCAATTAGCAATTGAGAAAATGCCCCAGTCTAGTCTGATAGATACAATTCTTCAATTGAGGTTCCCTTTCCTTAGGTGTGTCAAGTTGACAACCAAGATTAGCTATCATACTCCCCAGTGCTGGATTTGGATTTCTTTTCTTCAGTGTATGCTAGGTGTGTTCGAAAATCATCAAAGAATGTGAATGCTTTTAAGGTATTAACAGAGTGGCAGGGTCTCTGTTAGTTTTTAAGATGTCTTATTCAGGTGGCACACTCCTGGGTAGACAGTCCTGGGACTCTTGGCTTGAGTGGGCTGTGGCACACACTCTGGGTGCCTTGATGCTGGGCATTCATGTTCCTCCAGTAGCTCAGACAGAGTGCTGCTTCATGGAGCCCCAACAGCTTTCAGTGCTGTGTCTCTCAAAGGTTTTCATTCATTGGTGGAAATGGCTCAGTTGTGCTCGTTCTCATGAGGATGATGATTTAGCATGTGTTTCTTGGGCATTTGTAGTTCCTTATGAATTGCCCAAATTTATGTTTCATGTTATTAGTACTTTTCATTTGATGTTTCATACATTAATTTGGCTACAAGTGATCAAAACCATTATTATTAGTCTTCCTAATTTGTGCTCACATTGTTCTCTGAAAGAGGCAAAGTTTTATTCAGCATTTTTGCCACATGCCTTTAATCCCACTACTTGGGAGGCAGAGGCAGAGGCAGAGGCAGCCAGATCTCTGTAAGTTCCAGGCCAGCAAGGGCTGCACAGTGAGACCCTGTAGGACAGCTAGGGCTACAGGGTGACCCTGTCTCAAAAAGACCAAAAAAAGAAAAAAAGAAGAAACCAGTGTTTTTATCTTACACTTTTTCATCTTGATTTTCAGTTAACAAAGTTTTTCTTCATTTGATACTTGAAAAGCACTTATGTTTTCTTCTTTAATATTTTATTTCATTTTTACATTGATTTCTTGGTTAAACTTGAGTATATTTGGTGAATAGTATGAGTTAATAATTTAGGGTTTTTTTCTAATAGCCAATTTCCAGGCCTCATTTTTATATAATCTTTTCTTTCCTTACTGATGTGTGGCAGTTTTTTTACCCTGTTTAAGTTCTCGTATCTATTCTGATAAAGAGAGTTTGCGGAGGCTGGCATTGTCACTCACTGGTAAAGTGTTTGCCTACCATGTACAAGAACCTTGCTTGAAACTCAGATACTACAAAAAGTATTTTGCTGAGTTTAGAAATGATAATGATGGCATTCTTTGTATGGTTTAGGCACTGTTCATTTATCTTAATAACATGATTTTTGTTTCACTGATAAAATTTATTTAAACTTGCTTTTAATGCTACTGATTTCAATGCTAGCATTTCTTCTTTATGCCTTGCATTAAAGTGAACTGGGTCCTTGAACACAGTGGGATTACTGGTTTCATGGGGACTGTCCTACTCACAAATGACTCAGATCCCAAATGGTAACCATCACACGCCCGCCATTCCCTTGGAAGAAGTGACTTTTCCTCTTTCTGTTTGTTTTTAGGGTTTGTTGTCTCATATGCTTTCAGCATTCAGATATGATGTGAAGGAAGTTGGTCTTTTTACTGAAATTCTTGGATATGAGCCTGTTGATTACTATCCCAGTTTGCTTAAAAATGTGAGTATATTAATTTATTAGTATTGAAATGTTCATTGCTAAAGGTTCTATTAATAAAAAGGACAAATGGAATCACTCCTCCAGTGGAATTATTGAACTCTTGTTTCTCTCTCCTTGCCTTGTCCAGGCTTATGGCCATGTAAGGAAGAATTATGACATAGTAGGTTCTAGAAAAGAAGAAAACCTGGAAAGGTTTTAGTGAATCTACCAGTCAGCCTCTCATAACACATCCCACTTATTCATTCAAAGATTTCTAAGGGAAGAGCACCCTTGCTTAGTATAAACACAGCCTGGACTGTTGAACAGATCTTGTATTTAAAATAGCCTCACTGGAATTTTATGCTGAAGCAAAGCAGAAAATTAGCTAAAGGGATCAGCAAGATGACTCAGTGAGTCAAAGCACTTGCTGTAAAAGCCTGGGAACCTGAGTTTGATTCCCAGAACCCATGTAAAGGTAGAAGGAAAGAACCAGCTCCTCAAAATTGTCCTCTGACAACTGTGGCAGCCCCCCCCCCCACCATGCATATATATATAGACACACATACTAATACTTTTTTTAAGAAAAAGAAAAAAAGTTGACTAAGGAACTTTGTGAGTAGTATTATGTATTTACATGTTGGTATTTAGACTGTTTTTCTTTTGCTTTTAATTTTAGTCAAATTCAAGACATTTTCATTCATATATAGTCTTGATACAACAACTCTTCTACATGAGACCTTTAATGATTATTAGCCATTTTGGTGTTTTGGAAGCTATATCCATGAAAATCATTTAAAAAATATTTTTGAAATAAAGAACTGAAAAAAAGAAATAAATGCACTTTAACATGTTTTAATTTTTTTAAGGTGTTTGGTTTTAATTCTTAGGAGGTTAATGAGCTGTCTGCTATTCATTGTTTAAGTAGGCATGAAGAATAATAAACATTAGCTGTAAAAATCCCCCTAATTAGCAAGTGTGACTTTGCGCTGCCTTCTTTTCATTCCAGCAAAATGAAACATAAAAAGAGAAATGGGGGAGGGAATTGAACGGAAATATCACTCACAGCAAGAAAAATAGAACTGATGTAATCCTGTTTGCAGTATGAGTTAACCTGCAACTGATTTTGTTTTACAGATGGTTTTGTCATTAGTGTCTGAACTCAGAGAGAGTCATCTTAATGGATTTAACACTCAAAGTCGGTAGGTGTTAAAGGAAACATCCCCCTTCTCAAGTTTCAAAATGTATCAGTCAGTCATGAGAGAGAGTTCTCTAACTCAGGAAGTACGTGTTTCTAGTTAGTAAGAGTCAGTATGGGGATAGTATTTTAGTAGGGTACATCACTGTGGAGAGTTCTTCAAAATTTTCTTTAATCCTGTTCTCTCAACTATCATAGGGCAATCAGTAAGTCATATACAACTTTTTCTGTGCACACTAGGTAAAGAGCCCTGTGCGTACAGTAAGGAGCTTAAAAAAAGTGAGCCTTGTGACTTATCCCCGGCTGCTTGCCCTATAAGAGGAGAACTTGTGGATGCAAGTGTATGCTCTGGGACTAGCCTGCTCCTGCCCTGCCCCCACCCCACCCTACACACAGGATATTTACAAGACAGCAAATATTCTGATGTTCATGTAGGACCTATTTTAAGAAACCTAATATCCTAGAATCTAGACTAAATAAGCCAAATAGATTCAGACAAATTAAAAAGCAATTAATCACATCACAGATGATTCTTCACTTCATGAACAAGTTAGAACTGTTTTCATTGGTGAGCATTTCATTTTTAACTAATCATTAAAAGACTCTGGGAACTTGAGAGATTTTGTTAAAAAATTTTTTTCTTTTGTTTGTAAACCTATTACCAACTAAAGTTCTGTCAAAAAATGTCTTTGCCCTCAGCCTTTAAGAATCCATTGCAAGTAAACTTTACAAGTGTTAGAAGAAAATACTGGGAAAGATTCTGGTAACAATAGATTTGGCAATGATGTTTTTAACATATGATACCAAAAGCATAGCAAGGAAGAATAAATAGCTTGATGGGCAGGAGAGGATGCCTCAGGAGATAAAGCACTTGCTGTGTAAGCCTGTTGACTTGCGTTCAGTCCTTGGAACCAACTTAAGGGTGGAAGGAGAGAACTGACTCCACAAAGTTGTCCTCTGACCTCCACACATGCTCTGTGGCATGTATATCCCCTACCCCCACATATCATGCACACCAGTAGTAGTAGTAGTAGTAGTAGTAGTAGTAGTAGTAGTAATAGATTTTTTTAAAGACAAATAAATTGAACTTAATTAAAATTAAGAATTTCAGAACTTAATAGCTCAGTGGTAGAACACTTGGCTGTCATGCTTGTGGCCCTTGGATTCCATTCCCCAGACTACAAAACAGTTAAGAACTTTTGTGAATCAAAGTGTACTACCAGTAAAACAACAAAGACAGCCTTACTGAATGAGTGAAAACTTTTGCAGATGATATCTCTGAGCTGGGCATAGTGGCACATGTCTATAATCCTTATATTGGGGCATCTGAGACAGGAGAATCATGAATTTTAGGTCAGCTTGAACTTCCTAACAAGCTTGAGGGCAATCTGAGCTACATAGTGAGACTCTGTCTAAAACAATTAAAAATCTCACAAGAAATCTGGAATATATGGTAAACTCATCAAAACAACAACAAACAAACAAAAAGAATGGTCAAGGGCTGGAGATGAAGCTTAGTGGCACAATGCCTACCTAGTGTACACAAGGCACTGGGTTAAATCAAAGATAAACAAAAACAGGAAAAGGACTTGGCTTGAGAAGACACTGTACCAAAGGAGTATATACCTGGTAAAATTAGACATGATGCACACCTATGATCTCAGCACTTAGAAAGTGCAGGAGGATCAAAAGTTCAAGGCCTTCCTAAATAGCAAGTTTGAGGGTAGAGCCTTTCTCTAAAAGGTAAAATAAAGCAAACAAACTCCTGGCCACTAAACAAATGAAAGTGTTCAACATCATACCCATTAGAGACCCTCCAAATCAAACCCACAATGAAATATCATTTCATACCCACTGTGCTGACTATAAGAAGATAGAAACGGAAAAGCTCAGTATTCATGAGGATGAAGAAATATTGGAGCCCTGTGCATTATTAGTGGAAATATAAAACTGTGTAGCACAGTGGAGAATAAATTGCTGTTTTCTAGAAAAATTAAACATAGAATTGCTGTGTGACACAGAAAATCCACTGCCTGGTATAGTTCTGTCCTAGTTTCATCCTATTGATGTGACAAATATCATGACCAAAAGCAACTTAGGAGAAGAAAGGGTTTATTTGGCTTACATTTCCAGGTCACAGACCATCATCGAAGGAAGTCACAGGCAGGAACTTAAGCAGGAACTTGAAGCAGAAACCATGGAGGAATACTGCTCACTGGTTTGTTGACAGGCTTATACTTAACTAGCTTCCTTATATAGCCCAGAACCACCTGCTTATGGATGGTGCCACCCACAGTGGACTGGCCCATCTCATATCAATTAACAATCAAGACAGTCTCCCACAGACATACCTGCAGTCTGATCTGGGAAGTCCCTCAATTGAGACTCCCTTCTCAGATGACTCTAGGCTGTGTCAAATTGACAGTTAAAGCTAAATAGGATAATATCAGAAAGAATTTAAAACAGGAACTCGGGACTGGAGAGGTGGCTCAGCGGTTAAGAGCACTGACTGCTCTTGCAGAGGACCTGGTTTCGATTTCCAGAACCCACATGGCAGCTACAAACCGTCCTTAACTCCAGTTCCAGGGGACTCCAAAGTCCTCTTCTGACCTCCACGGCATTGCATGACACAGGTGCACTCACATACATGCAGGCAGTACACTCATAAAAAAAGTGATAAATAAATAAAATTATTTCTTTACTGTGCCCATGGCCTTGTATTCAATAACCTATAACCCAAGGTCACCTATAAGGAAAGGATTCTTTTTCTCATTATGAAAGGGTCAGGTTTTACTCTGTTTGCTTATTTTGTTTTTGAGACAGGGTCTGTATTACAATCTGACCTTGAACTTAACCATCCTGCCTCAGCCCCTGAGTGCAGGTTTTATAGTTGTGTATTATCACACTTCGCTAAGAGTCAGTTTTGTTATTGTTTTGTTTTTGTTTGTTTGTTTGTTTAGTCCTTTTGAGACAGGGTCTCTGTAGCCCCTGCTGTCCTGGAACCGAGTGCTGGGATTAAAGGCATGCGCTAGCACGCCTGGCTCAAGAGTTAGTCTCTTAAGGGTTTTTTGGGTTTTTTTTTGTTTTTTTTTTCTAAGTCTTTGATCACTGCTACCTGGAAAATGGGTTTAACTGAGGGAAACTGAGCTCTTTAGCACTTCAGGATATTAGAGTATTTCTAATGTGGTATTTTTAGTGCTGTGTCACAAGGTCGTTGTAGGGATTAAATGATGCAATGTAAATTAAGGGTTGGGTATGGCTCACAGTACCTCCCAAACACTACCTGGTATAACTACCATAGTGAACTCACAGGTCATCACTGCAGAAGCCCCTCAGTGATGTTCTCAGCCCCTGCTCTCTGGCTGTCTGGATCCTGACATTCCGCCCAGCTCCAGGAAGAGCTGGTACTGTCCCCTCCCTCACCCTTGTCCAGCAGCTCTTCCAGATTCTGATTTTCAGCAGCAGCTAAAATAAGTTTCCCCTAATA